CCCCTCCACGAAGAAAACGAGCAGGAATGAGAGGCTGATGCTGGGGCATAGGACAAAGTGGTGGACCAGGGCTCTCAGGCTGGGACTGTCTCAAAGGGGCTCTTGTAATGCAAACCACATATACAGTGATCTCTTTTACTGCAGCTAATTGCTGGTTATCCCTACTTCATTTTTGGAGACACTGATGGGAGGGTATTCTGGGGGAAAAGGAACTTAGAAGGTGGGAACTTCACCCTGAAAAATACTGATTTCTCTTCTGTAGGAGGATATCCATGTTCCAGGCAAAAGATCCTTACCATGACTACTCTAACCAGCTGAAAAAGGAGCAGGATAGGAGATGGCAAGGTTTCATTTGGAGATTTTTCTTCCTCCTGTACAGCAATAACCTGCTAATAGCTGTTGTTAATGCCATGCCAGCCCTTTCAGTAATGATGAGATCAATAAAAATAGACACAGGGGAAAAGACGCCTATTAGGTCAAGTTCCTACCCAATGCGTTTTATGATTCAGGGTTTAATTAGACAAGGTGCTTGAATTTATAATGAACTACTAATTATGATTAATCTACCTAATTTAGCAATCCCTAATTAAAAAAAAAAAAAACAACCCACAAACCTACCTCAACAGAAGAGTGGGAGCTAGAAGGTAATGGGAAAGGAGTAACAGCCATCTGATTGACTGCATCTTCACTTCTGTAAAACAAACAACATATTACACACTAAACCATAATGGCCAAACTTTTCTTTTGAGTTGGTTTTGCCCATTAAGAAAATACTCTTACTAGCAAAAAAGGTATCTCTTTCTTACCAGAAGTTAGAGCTTAGAAAAGCACTTCATTTTTGCTGTTGTTCTTTGCTAGCAAACAGATTACATCCCTTCTTGGGACCACAGTAGTTTCATCTTGGACATACTGACATCACATTCTTTGGAAATCTAATTTTGTGTGGATTATCAGAGGATGCAGTTGGAGTATATGGTCCCTACGCATCAATAGTTATGCTAATACTTCATTAGCCTCTTCTAATAGTGTCTACATTTGTAAACTGCTTGTTTATAGCCTACCATTCACATTACTGAAATTTAATACCTATTTTACTACAACAGATTGCTTTTTCTTCTTTGTTCATATTTGCTGTGGTCTTTTCTAAAAGATTCACTGTAAAAGCTTGGAAGAACTTTTACAAAATGTAGGGAGAAAAAAACCAGATGAACATTGATTCCCCCTATACATAAAGTGCATTATTTTTCAAAGACACTTATTATGTATGGCATCTTCTCCTCTGTCCTCTTTAAAATGCATTCCTAAGTCAACATCTGATTACTTTGTAACTTTAAAAAGCCTTTTTTTAATTAAATAGCATTCTGCCTTGCTAATGTTTTTCCTCAACTGCCATTTAAAATGATTTGGCTTGTGGAATTAGCTCTGCGTTTTCTTGGCCTCTGTAAAACTGAACCAAGTAAAATAAGATTTCACTGATATTGTTTAAAGCAAATCTGAGGCATATTAAAAAACGACTCCAAATTTTGCTTCGAAAACTGTACTGATGCACCTCTATTTTTTGGGTGAACAGAAACCAGGAACATGATGCAAACCCCGTTTTGCTAAAGATTCAGTACTACCACAGAGCCTCTGCTCGCCAAAACAGGAGAGAGGAGGAATCAGCAATACCGCTGCTTTGCAGATACAGAACTTGAGATGAAAGGAAATGATTTCTCATGCAGTGGGTCTTCTGGGTTTGATTTCTGGTTTTATCTACCTTCAAGGTCACCGTAACACAAGTACAATTTTTTCTTCTTTAATTGCTGAAATAAAATATTAGACTAGTGCGTGCTTAAAAACATTTTATAGAAGTGCCTGGAAGAAAAAAGTCTCATTTTATCCCTCAAGAGCTAAACACATGAAGCTAGATGTTATGATCACTGAAAGACAACACTACTCTCAGCAGAGCAGCGTATGGGAAATTCAGTCACAGGCATTTAAAATGATAAATCCTGCAGGCAAAGGTTGGTGAATTCATTTACTTATCTTCAACCAAACAGCCATACAATTCAAAGGAATTGGTTCTGTGCTGCTCATTTTTATACTCGCTCCCAGCTTCTCATCTTGGCCCTGCTCAAAGCCTTGCAGGAGTCAGAAACCATGCTAAGATCAGAACCAGAGTGGCCTGTGATGCAGAAACATGTGTGCACAGGGCCAAGACAGAAATCTGAGGAATGCACAGAATCAAGCCCATGAATTTCATAAGTGTTTCACAATTTCTAAGTGCATTTTACCCCATAAGGCATATTAGACAATACTATTTTTCGTCCTCTTATCCTTCTTGAGATATCAATCTAATTATGTTGTTTCTCTAACCTATAAGAATAAATCCACAAATGTAAGGTGTCTAAGAGTCCCAGCAATTTTTCCTGGACTGTAGAGATTTTTCTGACAATAATTCATATGAAGCACAAACAGCATGAAAACTAACAACCCTTCTGTAGCTTACAATGCATGCTGCATACCTTGCAATTAGGAGTAAACTTGAAAATAACAAGGTATGTATAAACTTTTGTAAGACATATCATTCTAAAATTTGCTAGACAGAAGCTTCATGATCTGCATGATAAAGTGGGATGTAATTAATTATACAAATTAGTTTCTACTTCATATATACACACAAAATGTGGGTGGGTTTTTTTTTTTCCCAATCACTGCGCAAACATTCTTATACAGTTTTAAATGGATGGCCATTTTTATTCCAAGCAATAAAAAAACCACTTACAGTAATTCCCTGGAAAAAGATGCAAAAAATTAAAAAAACAAGGTTACAAAGTGTCACAACTTGTAATCTCCCCCTGCTAGGACTCGTACATATTTAAATAATTTAATGCTGCTTCAAAGGAGAATGCTTCAAAGCAGAATCAACGTGGGAATGTATTTTAAAGTGACAGATCTAATAATAAATTGCTCTTTCTGCTCTCCACTTCCATAAGTGTCCTCAACTAAAGCATGAATTTATTTACAACTAAAAGGAGCAATCATTTTCTTTTGATGCTGGAGCAGACAGCTTAGAAGTCTGAACATCATATTCAAATTACAGTGACTGCAAATGAGCATTCAATGTATTTGCCAATAGTTGCTACATAACCACCTCCGAGAAAGCTGTTCTCAGTTACCAGTGCTCAATATTGCTTGAGGTTAAGATGTCTAAAGTCTTCACAGTCAAGACACAGGTTCATACTCGCAGGGTCAAAGCAATGTACAATGCAAATTATACAGCAGGGAGGCTCAGATGCTCCCCCTCCATTATCTGCAGAAATGATAAACATCCATTGCTCTTGTTCCAGCTCTCATACTGGTTTGTATAAGACGCTGGAATGGCAGCCCACCTCCTTACTGAGCTCGTGCACTAGAGAGCTGTTTATATTTCCATCGGTTACATGTAAACTGAACAGGGAAGGAATTAATCACTCCTCCCACAAATACTTTTATTGCTTCTAACCTCCGAGGTGAGTTTCTGTGTGAAAATGGGAATTAGATCTGTTTGGAGGTTAGAGTGCCTATTGCTTGTACCAATGTCACTAACTATAGCTCGATACTGAAGAAACAAGAAGCTTTCCTCATCACAAAGGGTTACAGGAAGTAAGATCAAAGCAATATATAAGTGGCAAAGACTCTTTAAACTTTAGAAAAGCTCATACACTTTCAGATTTATTTGATTAGATTGCCACACTTTACTACATTTTACTTCCTTTCTAGCCTAAATAGGACCTCTGGACATTCCCCATCCTTTCTCACTGACCAAAGAGAAGAACTTCTGATGTTTTGCTCCATCTAACAACTGCACCTCTGATGACAGAGGAGATGTGCAGCTTAAGCAAAGACAAATACAGTTATTATTGACTAATAATTAACTACCATAAACACTTGGCAGGAAAAAAGCCTTAAGAGACCAATATGCAAATATAAATCTAAAGGGATTACTCATTGCATGCTGCAGAAAGTAAGCCTGAAGGGAAGTTAAAGTTGTGTGCTGCAAGGCTTCATCTAAGCTGCCCTGCAACGCTGTGCTGCACTTATCAGAAAGCTGTCTCTGGCACTTTGGAGGAATTTCACACACAGCTGGAATGGTCTATGAAGCATTCAGAAAGTTATCTTTCTAAAGACGATAACCAGAAGTCACAGCTTCAGCCAAATTCAGGGGTTTTTTTTTTTGCATTTGCTCATCAACCTCAGACTTGTAATTCTTGAGTTCAGGTTCCCTGCCTTTGAGGACATTTTCTGTTTTCCATTTTACTTAGTCTTACATCTCTCAGGTTTGTGATCGTATAATCTCACAGTCATGCAATACTAAGAAAACACTTGTTGAGCATGCTGAATGAGATTCATTACCTGTTTAAAGCAGAGCATCTTGTCTAAGATAGCATCCAAACTTCTTCTAAGATCAGTGCAAGATCAAGACAAATCCCAAAACAGATCCACTCAGAAGGGCAATTCATCCCAGCACCTAATGACCTAATTTAGGACAGGATGAACTGAATTGCTCTTTGGACGTTCCTGACAACTGTTCACTAATCACAGAAGTCCAGATGACCTCTAGAAGTCTAAACCAAGGGAGATGAACCTCCTGCCAAACTATCTGCAACTACACATATCATCAACACTAAAAAATCATTTGACAACAGCTTTGTAAGGGGTTGTGGATGCTTTTTTGGGAGTACAAAGTACATCAAGAATCAGGAGAAACACCAAATAGTTTGTATGCAGTTGCATGACATCTTATTTGGAACAGATCTGGAGAACAAGTGAATGAACAATGTTTGCCCAGTAACCCTTTTTTTTTTGTGACACCAGGGCATAAAGTCCTACAGATTACTGAAAACCTATACTGCCCTCATCCTGTTCGTTAAAAAAAAAAAGAAAAATCAGGTCAGGATCTCATATTTTCTCATCTTTGTTTTCCTCTAGATGTTCCTTTGGAAAAGAGGAGCTGCAGGAAAGTTACACCCTGGATTTTTCCTTCAGCTGGGTCAAGGCAAGACCTTTGTATTGTGCATCTTCTTGAAAAAAAACTCTCCTCCTAACAGCAAGAACAGTCTTGTTCTCCATTTCCCCTCCATCCACTCCTAACTATGTGAGAGCCAAACGCATACAGATATTTTAAATGAACAACTAATGTTCATACAAACTGCAGCTTAGGTCATCAAAGGTTTGAAAGAGCCCAAATTACTTAACTTCCTCAACTGTGCACTTGTTCCCACATGAGTATGACAGCAAGAAGGAAACAGCTCTGAAGAAAACAGGAAAAGTTCAAACTTGCACACACAGTGTCTGGCAAGAGCTAATTTTTAAAGCTTTCCCACATGAAAGAACCTAAACAATCAAAGCAAGTAAAAACAGTTTATACTATTAAAATATGACCAATTATGTAAGCTAGAACAAACTTAAAGCAAAAATAATTTCTGAAGCATGACAATACTCAAGACTCTAGCATAAAACATACAACGTTACTTACAGGGGCTCTAAAAGAAGAGAAAAGACTAAGTGACAAAGTCACAGCAATGGAGAGCATTAAACAGCACCAAGAACTGGCCAACCTAGCCACTGCCCTTGCTTTACTGGTCCTCCTTTGCATGTCACCATAAATAACAAGAGATTAGTCTTAACAATTACACCTAGAAATGGAAGGAGAGGTTAGGTGACAGAGATTTGTGGGCTTCACTGAGAAGCTACAATTCCATCACCAGAAAGCAATGATATCAGAACAAGTGACTGCAGTGTGGGAGGATGACTCTGGACAGCTAACAGATGCAATTAAGTAAGCAAAATCCTACCATACTTTATTCTTAAAGCTTTTCTCATGTTTCATCACAGCACAAGAGAATCTTCATTTAAGGAATAAAGGTATACCAAAGAATGAATCACAGAACTGAACACAATGGGATGATGGTTTGAAATCAGTGGCATTCACTTTGATTCAAGCATTCAAATTGTATTTGATCTGCTTATTATACCAACACTGAAGCACCAAAACAGATTAAAGGCAGTTAATTGAGCATGGAGAAAACATTGAATTTGCTGAATCATAAAATTCTCACTGTAAAAGAATATTCCGATATAAACTGGATTTCCTACTACAGATGTAAAATCTAATTATATTGTTTTATTATGCATCTTAAAAGGATGGACTTATAATGCATGAACAAAAATGACAGTGGATACAAAACCCATTCTATTTTGGGAATTAGGGCACAGAGACTCCTACAAGAAACAAGTCCTTTTCTCAGATTACTACCTGGCTAATTCCTGTTGTTGAAGACTTAGATCAAGAATTTCAAAAGGCAACTAAGACCTTTACACGCCCCATTGCCACAGCCTTCCACTAGCACTTCCATAGCAAGACTCCTCTATGTGCCTCAGAAAGCTGCAGTCAAATTATTATTTATTTCTGATATTCAGAAATCAAAAAGAAAACCCATATTTGCTACAGTAGCTTGGAAGTTAATGCAGCAGCTGTAAGACCTTGAGGTCAGATAAGACGCGACTGGACACTAATCAAAGGAAGCACTCAGACTGAGCCATTTAATCTCAGGAAAATCTTGCCGTGCCTGGGCAATTGGTTTATTTGTTTGTTACCCTGGGTGAGCAGGTTAAATGCCTTCAAATTTGTTACTGTAGAAGGTTACAAAGCACAAGTTGCACTGAATCTAAAAAAAAAAAAAAAAAGTAGTACAGTGACACTATAACTGCAAATCTTTTAGATGCGAGTACAAGCTTATGTAATTAATGAGACCACGGGGACACAGTGCTGTGTTAAGACCTATATTTTGGAATCTGGCCAAAATCAACTGTTTTAAATAATCATCGTCAACTTAATTGAGCAAAAGATGCTTATAACTAGAGCGAGAAGCCTTCAAATATAAGGGGACGTCTATGATTCTCATAGCACTTACTGCACTATGTCTCATCAGCAAAAATTGCAGGAAAGGGTGGGAATGCAATTGTAACACTACCTGGGTATAAAAAAAAGTGTGAACAGATTTTTATAGCGCAGATGGTAAGTTAGGATTTTAGTAAAAAGTCAAAAAGGCTGAGGACACCTTCTATTCTTTATTTGTCCTAGAAAAAAAAAATGTGGGTGCAACAAAATCCAAGTTATTTAATGATAGTTATTACAGTTCTCACAGAAAGGCTTTTCTGTGCCCAGGAATTTCTGGGCTTCTTTCGTAACTGATTAAAGAGTTTATGGAAACATCCCCCTGCCCTGCACATGAACCAAAACACCAGAAATAGGAAAACCTTGATGCTGTTTCCTGCTTCAAAGTGAAAAGCAGCATGCTTATCGCCGAGCATCCTTCATCTGAGGAAAATAAGGCCTCAGGATATCAAAGGAGGTACTTTTTAGTAACAGTCCAAGAGTCCCACCAGTTCTGCTTTTATGTCCTAGGTCAGCTCAGTCAAGCATGCAGGAACTTTTTAGGCTGCACAATGACGTGTTTCTGGAAAACTATAACCTACTCAGGCCTTTCACTGGTGAAATCAGAATCTTAATATCTTCATGCACATGAAGACCAAATACATTTCTCTCCTAACTCCTGCTGTACACATTATTTTGCTACGGTGAGCTGTGGCCTCTTCTTACTGTGCATTCCAGGATGTGTTTTGGCTATGTTATGCTACAGGCCTTCTACCTTTAAAAGAAGTTGCACGGGTAACAGCGCTCAGGAGGAGGAAAGTAGTATTTCTGTTGCAACGGGCTCCTCCCCATTTTCACAGCATAACAAATGTAACAGTATCCTGCTCTTTCCACATCATTAGAGCCCAGAGGAACACATCTGAAATCAGCCAAGCAGCAAACCTACCAGGAAAGCCGAGTCTGCTACACTCAGCGCTTTGTTCTCAGCTGGAAAAGCTATTGCACATGAATCTCCATCCATCTCTCGTATGTGCAAGATGCCTGTTGCTGCTCTTATTTACTACAGCTGGCACCACAATGCAGTAGTGGCATTGCAATACCTCCATTTCATATTGTAATTTTGAAGTAAGTTGATAAAGCAAGCAAAAACTTTTCCTACCAGACTGCACCACAGACAAGACTTCTGTGCTGGCACAGTCTTTTGGTTCATGTTTTCAGTCAATCACATCCACTGGATTTCTGGTCTAAGGTATAGGGACTGGAAGCACCAAGAGATAAGATGGAATATTTTTTGCATGAGAAAAGAAAATTATTCTTGTTTTTCCTTAAAATTCACTTCTAAGGGAGACAGCCTGATTTGGCTTTGCTAAAATTTTGAAACACCACTCTTATTATGAGGGGCTGACCACGTATCAAAAAAGAGGGTGACAGTTTTCTCTCAGTGTTAGAGATGGTGCTCTAGTTACTAATGACATTCTCTCAGTGGGAGAATTTCTTTTCATTGCTGTTCGAACGGCTGCTCAGGTCAAGCGAACAGACCCATCAGTTGTCAGCATACTCTAATGAAAGGTCGAGAGCAATGACAAGATGTGTGTTCTTGGGAAGCATGAAGACATAAGTTTACAACCTCAGCAGCAGCATTTAAAAATGGAAACCTTTTTTGTTAAAGCTCTAGAGACAAGATTTATCCAATGGTATTTCAAATATCTACTAATTATGATCATTAAGACAACTTTTTGCCTTGAAATCCACTTCTACACAGACAATCTGAAAAGGGGAATTATGGCTAAGAACTTACAAGGACTTCATGTCTTAAACATGATACAAAATATGCACCAAGGATTTCCAATGCACGGGCGACTCAAGCTAACACACAGCCTTTGTTGCAGCTCTGTGGAGTGAAATGCTCTGCAGCCAGCCACAGTGCTCAGTGCAGCAGGGCAGGGTGCAAGAAGCCCATGCTCTCCATGCTGCCCAACAGCACTAAACCCAGCTCCGGGTTTTGTTTTCATAAGTTGTGGTTCTGCTTCTGGAGCTTCCAACCAGACACATTTTCTCCATGCAATTAAGTAATGGTGAGTGAGTTGTTGTACATGACGTTTAATTTTCAATAGCTGGGGAAAGTAACACAGGAGCTGCAGGCAAGAACATTAATCTCTTCCAGATCCTCTGTGCTGCCAAGTATAGCAACTCATTCTTCACTGCGCTAATGCTGCTCTTCCATCATTTCTGTGTATGCTGTACCAGACAGAGCCATATGAGTAAATGTACACATTTATATGCATTCACCCACAGATTATTACATTGTTCACAGGTAAGCTGTGTACGAGTGAAGAATATAAAACACTATCAAGTATGATGTATATGTTGGTGGGAAAACCACATTATAAAATGACATGGGGATAAATGCCCAACAAAAGTCACAGCTGGAATAGATGCAATTATGAAATTCCAACATATTAAAGCATATATGAGTTCTGTGAAAGACGCAACTTCTTCCCAGACCTCCCGCCCAGGGTCATAAGAGTAACACTTCCCGAACTACAGAGTGAATGCATGGAGGTGTCCTTACCTCACATACAGACTAAGAGGAAAAATTTTCATGCTTGGAATAAAAAGATGCCCTTATGCAGATGAAAAGTTGTTTTAGCATATGCCCTGCCACATAAGCCATCCCAGTGCTCCTTGTCAGGTTCCCTCCTCTGTACAAATAAGCCCTAGCTCAAATAAGACCCTTTTTAAAAAAAGCCACTCTTTTTAAAAAAAAAAAAAAAAACCAACTCTTTTTTTACAAAAAGACTCTTTTGATGTTCATACAAAGCTATCCTTCACACATCCACCCAGCCAATGCTCCACATACTCCATCCATACTTGCCTGCTCCCCTCACACCAGCTCCCTCTCCAGCCCCAAGCCTCTGCACCATTTTCACCCCCTTCTGGCAGTCACAGAATCATAGAATTGTTTAGGTTGGAAAAGACCTTTAAGATCATCCAGTCCAACCATTAACCTAACATTGCCAAGTCCACCACTAAACCAATTAAGGGCAGAGTAGCAATTTCATGTTTCCTGGCTTGGTGGCTAGATTATTTATACTGAAAGTAAAAACTAGGAGTCATTAAGATTGGAAAGGACCTCTAAGATCACCAGTCCAATCATCAACCCAACACCACCATGCCTACTAAACCATCTCCCGAAGTGCCACATCTACCCATTTTTTGAACACTTTCTGAGTGAAGCAAGCTGCCCACCCCATCTTTGTGCTGGCAGAACCAACCTAAAGCACTTTAGTAAGTTCTAGGGGAAGAAGTTCTTATCAGGGTGCTCTCAAACCCAAGAGGGACAGCTCAAGTTTTCAGCAGACACCCCTAAAATGGGCATTCAATTACATTAGATATTTTTTTTTTTTTTACATTATTAAGGAGAACTCTTCAACAGTCCTGAGATAAATAATCAAGAAAAAGGTTTATTTCACTTCAAAGAGAACTGAACAAGTTCAGCATTTTCAAAACAGGATAAATATGTAAATCACATATGTAAATATGTAATGTAATAGGACAAAGTGCAAACAAATCTTTTGACAAGAACTGTTCTTACCGTATGAAAACTAGCTTAACCTTTGATGGGGCAGTCTTAATGATTGCAGAAGCATTCTGGTGACTTCTTCCATACAATATCTGATTGTTTATCTGTTAAAAAAAAAAAAAAAAAAAAAGATTTTTCATGTAAGTGGAGAAGTATGCATTGTTTAAATTTACACCACCAAGATTTCCACATTTACTGTGGGATAAAGAGATAAGACTCAAAGAAAATGCGGTTTGCAAAATACAGTTTGGGTACCTTTTGAGGCTCTTACAGCCAGGAATATCACCATCACACTGATAGATATACCTATCTGTACAGTATTGTAGAGACAGAAATACCAGAACTGAGGCACTAAAAGCCTCTTTCAGGCACAGCTGTGCTGCAGAAAGACATCATATGAGAAGCACATAGGAGGAGACGGGCACCGCTCAGCTTGGCCTTGGACTGCCCAAGGCTGTTGCCCCTTCCCTCAGCCAACTACTGGAGGAGGATGGGGGGTAGTCTGCAATTCAGCAGCAACACTTTAACCATTTCTCATCAGCTTCTTATCATTCCTTTTGAAAGGATAAATCCTAATTTGATTTTAAGATCACCCTCCTTCTCATACTGATTCCATAACGGACCGCAGAATTGCAGCCTGAGAACGGATTTTAAAATATTACATTTTCAACATCTTAGACTCCAATTTATCAAAGAAAAGAAACATTCCAAATTTTATTCTAGACCAATACAAAACAGGAACCAATACAGAGCTAATTTAGTCTTATCAGTAAGCCACAAGTGAGAGAAATCTTTTATTCTTTTTCACAGATCCATAGAATGGATTTTAAGTACTGTTGCCAGATTTTTGGAAAACAGCACAGATTTTGAGACAGACACTCCTATACCTTACCTATAGGCAACTGGCAGTTTAGGAAAACTTGCTGTTAAGATTGTGCTGACTCCTCAGTTCTGCTGAAGGAAAAAGAACTGATAGCCATGGAGACAAAGGACAGTTTAAGGACATGCCACATCACTTCTGCTGTGATGGATCAAATGCCTAAGCACAGCAATAGACACCAAGTACTACTTTGGATACTTTTGCTGCATGCAAGCAAGTGCTGCAGTTTTCAGAGGGAAATAGCTTGGCTTTAATACAGTATGGGCTTCAGGTAATTTCTTTCTGTAAGAACTAGAAGTCTTTTCCCAGTTTGAGGAAAATACTGTCTCCCAGTGCCCTGGTCAGTGAATGGGACTTCAACAAGGACAACAGCATCTCTGAGATGAACATAGTAGTTATTTCCAAGCCAACCAAAAGCATACTCAGTATCATAGCACAAAAATAACCTGTGGTGTAAAAATGGAATATTTAAAGCATTTCATTCATGTCACAGGCAGGCCTCATGTTTAACACCATGCTCCACCTTAGTCCACCTGCAATGCCCTGAGTTTCTTGGGTTTCAGCTCCCCTTCATTAATGCCTCCCACCTCAGAGGTATCCTAAGAGGATGCTTGCCTTTCAGCTCAGGCATTGCACAAACTACAATCATGAAGATCATAGGCAGAACATAAGGTAGATATGAATACCACAATAAATTTAAAGAAAGTAAAAGCTGAGTTAAATATTAAAGGGAAAAAAAAAAAAAAAAAAAAAAAAGACTATGTCACAGAGATTAACAAAACCCTTGAGCAGTCTCTTAGTTGTACCCTGATGATTTTCGGATTTAAAACTAAGCTGAAGCAAACACTCAGCGAGGTGGTGAAGGAAACCGTCCTCCCTTGACGGCAGGGAGCAGAACTACCAGAGCTATATTCCTTCAACTTCAACAATTCAGACTGGAATAAGCATAAAGATAACAATGTTCTGTGGAGGAACAATTATTTACCTATACCTGAACACCTGTGAACACCAACATGGAAACTAATTCAAAAGCTACATTTAACATCTTTTATTTTGTCCAAAAAAGAAGGCAAAACTTTAAAGATGAAGAAAAAGAAATTGAAGTGAATAGTATTTGAAGTCATGATGTTAGTTCAGGTTCACGGTTCAGCTCGTCCCATGTCTTGCCGTCTAAGCAAGCACCAGAGGCTTCCAAGCGTGCAGAACAATCTGCTATTTAACTCTGTCAAAATTCTCACTCCAAGCATCTTGATCAGATTAATGCATCTCTCTGGAGCTGGAGTTTTCATACACCCTTCCAAAGTGAGTAGCCAGCTTTGTTTCAATACTGCAATTTTTTCCTTCTACTCTCATTTACAACATAATATTTACATTCACATTTGATATACCAGTGCTGTTTAAAACAATAATGATAATGGAACCCAGGGGCAGTTTACTAGTGATTACAGAAGGACTTTTTGTTACTGAAAATGTTTGTATTGGATTTTGGTTTTGTATTCTTAGAAGATTTTTTCATTCAAACAAGAAATAACTGGCCAAGTCTTACGGATTTGTGTCATACAAGCTATTTGGTCATATTGGCAACTTCACAATATTCCCATCTTATTTTCAATGGGTCGAAACAACATGCAAGTTCATCAGTTAAATAACGACAATGCAAGGACAAGAATAAAACCCCTAACACTTGATTATTCGTGAAGACTGAAGTGCAAACCATTTACCTACCAAGTTGCTTACTGTACAAAGAGAGAACCAAGAAAGGTCTACGAGAGTCTGAGCTGGCATGAGACTATGAGCACTGAGGAAATAGCATCAGGCCAACATTCATAAGGGTTTAATATGGTGCTGTCTGCAACTGCCATGTTTGCAAAGACAGGGCAAGAAGCAACATCCTAGGCCATGCTTTGTTCATCAAAGATAAATTTAAAAATCTGGTGGCAAAAATGAATGCTCAATTGCATTCTGGCTTCCAGCTGGATTTGAAACTTTCAGCGAGTTTGTTGACTTAATTTCTCTAAGTTCAAAAATAAATTATTCACTGGGAATACTGTATGCATTACAAATTGTTTGGATTTAGTTAAATTACCATCAATTTTTCTAAACAGCAGACCTCTTAGATTAAAATTTATAGTCTTTACTCTGCCTAAATTAATCCTACTCAGTAGATGTATCAAATAGTCCAAAATTTAATTAGCTGTGAGCTGGGTCTGTAAGTTATAATTATTTAATTACACCAAAATGAAAGGATAATCAAAGTAATATATCTCCACAAGGTTTTGGACTGTCCCACATAGTTACTACAGCCAGTATTAATTTTTCTTTTTTAAAAAAAAAAGTCACTTTCTTTTGCAAAGTAAATTAATGTTCCGTTAGCTTCATATACCACAGTGATGAGCAAAGCACAAAAGCCTAATTAAATAAAACAAAAAAGATAACATCTAGGATTTCATAAGCAACACCATTTTAAATCTTTCAAATTAAATAAAGTAACACATCAGATTAACCAAATAGTACTCTGGGAATCAAACCCTATAAATCTGTGCTTTAATTTTTTCATTAGCAGTCAGAAAAAAAAACCCCAAAACTTTGACTAAGCAAAAGAAATAAATTGATCTAAATCAACTTCTACTCTTCTTTAAATGTCTCTTTACATAACTTCTTGGAAAGACAGCAGAGAACAGAGAAAGATAAAAACATGCTACCGGTATGAGGTCAGGTCAGCACACTTATATTCAGTCTTTAATATAACCCTGCACTGCTTTATGGCAGATTTTATCACATATCCCAACTGTACTGTTGCCTTCACCTACAAAAGTTTTGGTTTACAGTTTCATACACTAAAGCAGCAGAAAGTACAAACTCACCGAAATCTGAACTCTTAAATTAAGAGAAAAAAATTTAAAGGATTGTTTGCTTCTCAAACTTTAATTTGCAGAAGAGAAACATTAGATATGGATATTTAAAAAAAAAAGAAAAAAAGCACTGTTTTTACAATGTGGTAGTAATGGAAATCCATAAAATTAGTATCATCTGATTTTTATGAAAAGCAAGTTAAATGATACCCCAAAGCTAGTAAAAGAATGGGCACAGCTTTCTATAATAATTACTTCTTTGTACCAATGCATTAGTTTCCTTCTAACCACAGGAATTGTAGCATTTCTAGATACAACCAGACTCTCTGAAACAATGGGAAAAGTTTCAAAAACTTTTTGATCAGTCAAATTATATTGACTGAAACCCCATAAAACACACCAAACCCCCAAATAATAGAGCATGAGGAAAACACTGGAAAGAAAAAGTAATTAATTAGAATGTGAATTCTTCTTTCCTCACTAAATTTCTTGCCCAGCACACATTCAAACATGTGCATTATCTAAAGTGATCAACAGACCATAAACTCCATAAAGACAGAAAATCTCCTGCCCTGCATTGCAACTCGGCTTTGCCATTGGCTCGGCAGGCAGCTGACCCTTGAGGTTCCCCACCTAGAGAGTGTGGAGAGAGAGACAGGATGACAGAAAACCACAGATTGCCTGTGCCCTCGGTGCACAACCAGCTTTCCGATTACAGCTTTACCTTATTTGCAGCTTTAAAAATCACCACCCAACACTAATCTTAATTGGCAACCTGTCTACAAAGTATGTGAAAAAAGTATTTGTATCCTCCTATGAAAAGACAAAAAGGACACTATCCCTCAACATCACCTTCAGTAAATGAATCCGAGAAGAACAGAAGCTATGACAATTGTGTTTAAATAGGAATAAAAAAAAAAAAATCACCACTAGAGTTAATCATTTAAGACTACTCTTCTCATGTGAAAACTTCACTGTCTTTCTACGTTCAAGTTACTGTCCCTCTTGAGGCATAGTGCCACTTGTCTAATCCAAAGTAACTGTCTTGACACAGGAAAAACCTAACAATGCCAATCCCCCACATTACAAAACAGAAGTGGCATTGTGAATTTGGCTGGGTAGTTCATTTACTTGGACAAAATAGTGATGCATCTACTATATTATTACAGCATAACTTACATTTATCTGAGAATCTTAAAATAAAATAGCAATAAAAATACCTTTAGCACAAAAGCCCTCTGGCTTTGAGCTAAGACAAAAATGGCATGAAAGAAGAAAAATAGATTGCCTCTCATGCAACAGTCCAGAACGGACAACAGGCAAATTTGTACAGCAATTCTTGACCATGAAGACTAGCTTTCACTCTTTCAAGAAGCGCTGTGGCCTCCTAGAGCAAAACATCCAAATGAGCAGTTTCCTTCCACCTCCTGCCCCATTTTCAGCAAGATAAGCAGGGACAGGAAGATGGCAGAAAATCCCAACATCAGTAATTTAGCATAACAGGGCTCTGAACAGCTTGGTTTATTAATAGAACGCAGTTGACTCTCTTATGGAGAGATGATAATAATAATAATAACAGGGTGGATTATTCAGCGTGAATAAAACCTACCAACAGGACAGACCCATGCAGAGTTCACGAGCAGCAGGGCTTAACAGCACAGGCACAGCACCACGTGAACACGCTGCTGGCCATGCTGGGCACAATCAGCCACAGGACTAAGCCCAAACTAATAAGATACGAAGCAGTGCAGACACCTGCACTAAAACAGCAAGACTGCAAGGCAGGAGCACCACAGATGGTTTCTTTGCTTGGAAAAAGAATGGAAAAACAGAACTTGTACCATGTTAACAATACATTCTTTTGCACAGGGACCAAATTCTGACCCAAGTAATTTTCCTCCATGTATGAAAGTAGGATGAAAGGACCTTCTCCCTCAAAAAGCTGTTTTCTCCAGCAACATACCCATCCAAAACACATCACAAAAGATGTATTAAAAAAATAATGATTACATACAATTTTCTTATGTGACCTGCATTTTACTCAATGTATAGGCTGCATTGACTTTGAAAACGAGCCAGGATCATGCCCCCAAAAGACTACTGTTGTTTGCAGAAGCTAAAAGTGAGATGATATTTCATTAATTCAGAGACAAAAGACTTTATGAATAAGAAGCTGAGGCAGTCTGGCAGCATCCCACATCCTTCAATCAAACACAATCAAACTCCAGTTCAAAAGAAAAATGAAGTGGTAATATCTATCTATCTATATCTATATATGTATCTCCATCCCATTAAACTTACCCCCATCAACAGCCACGGGGAATAATCTGCACACACTGAAGCAGCATCCACTGGTTTAATGGAGCAACACTAACCAACAGGATTTGCTGGGGCACCCCTGGACAGCGCAGAAATGCTAAGGGGCTTTCCTAAGATACGAATCCCTTCTCTTGCTGATATGGTCTAGTGTTCAAACCTGATGTGTAATGAAAGATGCAGAGCAAATATACTTAAAACATGCAGTTACATGAGGGTTGAGGGTGGTATATCTATTTGCTGATGAACAGATGAGAATACTGGGGAAAATGGCCTCAAATGCTTATGAATGAAGTGGTTGCAAAGTCGAATAGCTTTTTTTTCTATGGAATAACTAAATATTTGAGCAGTGGCCAGCAGCTCAGTCTGCAGGCAGAGCAATTAAATACCTACACACAGTGAAGCACTACCCAAAGGAAGAGAAGTTGCTTCATCAGTAAAGATTGTCCATCCAGGTCTCTGAGCAAGGCTTTAATTTTGTGTCTTTAACTGGAGAAAACCAAACAATCTAGATTCTGTCATTTCCTAACTTGTGAATGCTTGAGTTTGCCATTAGTGCTCTTTTAACGTATTTTGTTGTAAAAGGCACTGCAAGTAAAGCCAGTTGACCACCTCGACCTCTGCATCACTGCCACGGAAGTAGCATGAAATCATACTGGAGATACTCAAAAGCCATCCACCCATAGTCCTGGGCAACTGGCTTGAGGTAGCCCTGTTTGAGCAAGGGGGCTGGACCAGATGACCTCCGGAGGTCCCTTCCAGGCCCAACCATTCTGTGATATTCCTACCTCAGTGACCTGTATACTTGCCAGGTGTGAGGATTCCTAGCAGTTACTGAAATAACCTAGTTATTGAACCTAATGGTTACTGAAAAAAAACCCTGCCAGTGTAAATGCCCATTAGTTCCATTTCAATGCCATTCACATAACACTGGAATGCTTTTAAAAGACAAAAAACCAGAGCTGTGAATAATTGACCACTGGTGTGAACATGAGACATCCGTACATGACTAACACACAACCCATTCCTTTGTAATAAAGGATGTTTTGACACTGGATACATACTCAGTGGGGATCAGAATGAGATCACCACATCCTTCCATATAAGTAATCACAGTTCTGCCCGCTGACACACCTTTAATTTGATTGCAAAGGTAAACAAGAGAGGTAGTTACTAAAGTCTCTTTGAACTTCAGTTTATTTGAAGTCTGGAATTTTTCAGATGGTGAACATCACTTTCCTTCCACTAAATCAAAAAATAATTTTATCTCCAACTTGACAGGGAGAGGAATTAGGGCAACACCACCACTTTGGAAAATGCTACTTATAACATGGCTTATGCATGTAAATTCCAAGACTTGAGATACATGTGGTTAATCACAGATGGTGCATCTTTCAAGCAATGCTAGCAATACTTAACATTAGATCAAACAAACACTGCAAGGAATAACTCATGAGATATAAGAAAACTTCAGTGGATCCTTCTTTGTGGAAAAGTATTGATACAAAAGGCTCTACCTTTCCTCTACCATGAACTCCCTGGTCTATGATATGCACATACAAAAACAGTACCATTAGTCCTTTCAATTGGTATGCACCCAAAATTTGACAATTTTAATTTTATTTTACCATTAGAATTTGGTGTCAGGGACAGAAAGAACATAAATTTGAAGGAGAAAGTAATTTTCCTACCCTACTCCAGTATGGTATAGACCTTCATACCATTCATCACACTTCAAAAGAAAATAATAAACTTCGGATAATGGTGTTATAGCAAAACAAATCTTTCTTGTACTACGTGTATTGAAAACCCCTAATTACAGAACTGTTAGACAATGACAAATGCTTAGACAATTCTGAGTACTCCCAAGGTATTCCCAAAGCAGTCAAATTGTTCTTTCTCAAGTCAAGAAAGGTGAGAAAATAGGTGGTTCTCTGACGGCACAGAGAGTTGCTGAAAGACCAAAAAATCACCACCCATGGAGAGCAGTAGGTCAGCATATAGCTGCTCTTCAGTAAAATCTTCTCTCTAAAGGAAAGATCCCCAGGGATGGTTGATTTTTTTTAAACCTCTGAAGCAATCGTGACATGGGGAACCACTGCAGGTACTGCAGCAAAGTGTCATTTTGCAACAGCCAAAAATCAGGTGAAGTGTAGGAAATCTGCGTTTTCAATTTGAAGGTGAAGCAAGGAGATAGGAGAAAAAGTGAAGACAAAATACTCTACTTGCTAACAAGCTCTCTTGCCTTGTGGGTGAACTTGTGCCAGACACTACTAAAGAAAATAAGTATTTCAAGTTACAACAGATCAAAGCTGATTACAGCACAAAATTTTATTTTCAGGATGGGGGATATCCCTGTCATCTGTAACAACACATATGGTAACTTTGAGGGGGGGTTGGTTTTTTTAATGTAAGGTGTGAATTTCCCTGTGAAACCACATATGCACTACAAGGACAGATTTACTATCCCCTTCCTGCCTTTCAACAGTCCCTCCCTAAGCATAGCTTGTGAACATGCTGAGAGCACAGACATCACGGACAAGACATTAGTTTTCACAGGCCAATGATTTTTGTTTCACTGAAAACCCATCTACCTGCCAAAGGCCAAGTTCTCAGTTGGCATAAACGAGTGCAACTCCTTGCCTCAGCCACCTAATTCCATTTGCAGCTTTATTTAAGGTTCAAACGATAGCTTCACATATGCCTCTCCCTCTCTCCATATGAACCCTGCTTAGTAGTTAAAGGAAACACTTACCTCTAGAAGTTCATCGCCAATATGCATCCTTCCATCTCGTCCTGCAGGTCCATCTGGATTGATACCAACTACAAAGATGCTCATACGAGAGCGGTCCTTGTTGCCAGCAAGACTCAGTCCGAGACCATTTTTGTCTTTCTCAAGCTCAATAATGTGCAACTCTCCTGGTAGATCTGCATATCTTTGCCTGATTTTTTCTAAGAAAGATCAAATACAAAATGAGTTATAACATAAAATAACTTATATGCAGATGTTCAAGAACACATACAAATAAACTAGAAATTGATGGCTTCTCAGCATTTACTCTTTGGTAACAGAGGTCTTTCCAGCACAGACTCTAAAATACCATTTGCTGTGCCTGTATCACTCATACAGCAAAATACAGCATCAGCTACAAACACTATTCACATTAAAACTGCACTATTTTAATTATTTGTACAACAGGCTGGTTCTAAAGCAAAAATTTTTTTGAAAGGAGGGTAAACAAGGGAATTCCAGGGGCACCTCAATCTTACTTTACAAAAACTATCAATTTTGGGAAACTCTCATAAAATTAGAGCTGGTTAATTAACCACTGTGGGAAACTGAAATGCTTACATTGCAAACATATTGCAAACTTGCATCTCAAGGTAGAATCTTTTACTTCTGCTTCTTTCTGGCGACTCAGGAATATGCTTACCATGCTCTGCTTAAAATTATGCGCTACTGTGCGGATGACTACTCAAAGCAGATGTCAGTGACAATGTATACGATTGATTACATTTTTAAATGCAGCCTCACTTGATACTAAGGTAGTTACTTGTCTTTCACCTACATTTCAACCATTTTTGTGACAGAGCACAATATACTTACAAAGTTATTTAGAGCACAATGTGTGTCTGTGGATACTGACAGTTTAATCTGAATGTCTTTTCACCACTGGCATACAAACACCTGTTAACTACTGCTTGCGAGGGTCAATCACAGCAAGGGTAAATTTTTTTCTGTCTGATTGTTCTCTGCAGATTTTAACACCAGCTTCATAACACCACCTGCATCCAATGCTTCAGCTGGGCCACCCATTAAAAAAAGCAAGTCAAAGTATTTTGCTGTGGCTGGATGTCACCTTTAGTACAGAGCCCAAGGTGAAAGAAACTGCTGCATTATGCATTAAGAAGAGAAATAAGAGATATTGTATGTACAACTATATCCCTGAGTCAGCAGCAGCAGCTAGATCAATATTAGCTATTACCATTCTACTGGGGAAGCATATTTTAATAGTATGATTTAAGCACTGTAGTGAATGTTCCCATGACAACAAGGAAGAGAGGAAAGAGCTGGGGAAGAGGGAAGCAACCAAAAGCAAATAAAAACTGCTGAGAAGGCAGACAATGAAGTAGAGGTGTTCCTTCCACAGCCCCTGTGCGGGATGCCAGGGTGATTTAGCCAAACATGGGTCCACCCCAGTTGCTCTCCTCTCTGAGGGTCCTTCCTGAGCAATTGTTCCAGCTGCAGCAGCCCCTCGTGCTTCGGCAGAGACCACTGGGACAGGAGGAGCAGTCTCCTGTCTCCAACCCCAGATGCACCCAAGAGCATTATCTACGCTCAGAGCAACAGGGACAAGAACCAGCTCTCCTGTCACTGCAGTTACAGGCTGGCATTTTCCTGCTGTGCTCAAATTCCCCAGTGGTCTGGAGCCTGAGCCTAAAATCCTGGAGGCATATATTAAGGGTGAGATGTTATCCCTGGAAAGCTGTAAAGCCCTACAGAGGTCTGCACAAAATCAGAATATCATAAAAAATTAGAAAACTCATTTGTTACTATCAATTATATGCCAAAAATTCATATAACTGCATTAAATGGAAATCCATGTAGCTGCATAGTTCTTTAATATACTTCTTAACTAATGGGGTCAAAATGTAATTAGAGGTGTGATTTGCTACTAGAATTTGGAAAGTGGGTTTTTTTCTGCTTAGTATGTCTGAAAAACAGCAAGTGAGGAAAGGTCTCAAAAATGGTGCTTCTGAAAGTACAGCAGACACAAGCACCTACACAGCCACACGTGTTTTATTCACACCACCGAGGTTTAACGTTCTTTTCCCATTAAGCGAAGTCCAGACCTGAAGAGCACTAAGACATTTTCTGCCCACCACAATTAAACAAACAAGTCATTACAGCGCAGCATGTTGCTGTAGCATATCCCAGATGTAAGAATATTAAGAACAGGTCATCAGCAGAAAAGGGATTTCTTAGTGACTGCACTTTTGTGAATAAAGCAAAGAATCAGTGCTCTGGAGGGATGCTGTTGATTGATCATTGCTCTGCCACAGTTCCTTTCATTGCTTGTTTTACACGGACAACACATCTCACTTTCATTTGCTAGGAGCAAAGCACACCTCTATAACACGTTTTTAGCAACTCTTAGCTGGATGCACGGAAAAGAGGTGAAGAGGCAAGAAGAACACACACGCTTAAATGCCACACAGATGAAGCCGTGCATCTTCAGAGACTGCTTCAAAATTCATTTCTTGCTTGTCAGTAAAACTCCTTGAAATTCCCCAGAGTCTGATGCAGGAGCAGTTCTGTGGCACTGCACATCTATAACACGTTTTTAGCAACTCTTAGCTGGATGCACGGAAAAGAGGTGAAGAGGCAAGAAGAACACACACGCTTAAATGCCACACAGATGAAGCCGTGCATCTTCAGAGACTGCTTCAAAATTCATTTCTTGCTTGTCAGTAAAACTCCTTGAAATTCCCCAGAGTCTGATGCAGGAGCAGTTCTGTGGCACTGCACATGAACACATAGCTCCAGCCTCTATCTGCAGGCAAGTGCCTTCTGAGACTACCAGTGTCAGTAAGTCTGTAAACTTTGCAGTGTTTCCTCCTGCTGCAGCAGCACAAAACGTGTTTTCTCACATGGGAAAAAAGTTAGCTGTTCAGAAGTCCTGTTCCATGCTGGGCTGAAACTAAAAGTAATTTTTTGTCCTCCAAAAATTAGTAAATGGGGCAATTGCCTGGGATGAAACACAGCCCCACTAAAGTTTCTGGTCTGCCTGCATTGGGCCAGGACTGGAAACTTGGTGAGCTGACGCCCAGCTCAGCACTCCAGCTGCACCAGTAATCCCCCACTGTGGGAAAAATTCTTTGGGTAAAGAAAATTTTATCTGGGCAAAGCCCAGAGACCAACTCTAGGGGTCACCCAGTTGCCGTATTTGTTAAGAGGTTTTTTTTTTTTTTTTTTAAAGGGTTTTCCCTGCTGCATGTTTTTGTTTGAAAAAATCCATACTTACAACACAAGGAAACCTCTGTGTGGACGAAGCCCTTCATTAAATTATCACATTAATTTACGAAGCAACTATTTGAAATGGCTGAGGTGACTGGAGTGGTAAACCAGCAGGAGACTACAGAGGAAACAACAAAGATGCTACGTGCCGAGCGCCACTTCCAGCCCGGCAGGAGGGCACTGTTACCGAGTGCTGCCGGAGAAGATGCAAGCATGTGTGTACATGTTCCTGCCATAGGGACAAGCAAGAGATACCCCTGCTTTTAAAAATCAAGCCTCCCTTAGCAGGGCACGCTGTCTCCTCCCTCAACAACAGAAGGTTCTGGCTCTCACAAGCTCCACCTCCTGCAATTAAACACTTCCAAGGGCTGTCCTCACCAGCCAGCCTTGCAGTCTAAATGATAACACGCTATTCCCAGCGGTGTCATTGCGTTACTCATCCAATCTGCATACAAATATCCTCTGGGCATCCAGCTGACTTCCTATAACATTGCAATCATATTCTCAGTTTGCCTCTTAATAAGAATCTCATAAGATTATTTTAAACAAGTATTTACTGCTTAAACAAACGTGCATCTAAGGCATCTTCTTTTTAATGCGTTTTTCAGCTGTTTTTTCTCCCCTCCAGCTGGTATCACTTTTCAGTTCTCTGCCTAGCATTGGGGAGCCAGTTAGCATCTGCTTTTGCAAAGAATTCCATTATCTGCCTTCATTACCAGATACTTTACACAAGGCAATTGTAATTCTGTTGTTGCTGCATTACACATGGGACACCGCATTTCTTGTTTTGGCACTACATCGAGTTGTTTCCACATTCGGTGGCAATATGCCTATCACAACTTCTGCAAACATATCTCACCAATGATATGTAACTAGCTAAGGACATATCTTACCAATGATATCTAACTAGCTGAGGTGGCATCCCGTTTCTTTTAAAAATACTATAAAGATGTAACGTGAACTAAAAGCCCAAGTATACACTTTAGTGATCACTCCTGCAATAATATTTCCCAGTTATATTAGCAGACAATTACATTTCAAAGAGAAGCCATGGAAATAGAAGACAACTTCTTTCAAACAATATACTATTATGCTGCTGCATATGTTTCCCTGCTTCAGCCGTTATTCCTATTATATTAAACAGCGAGAGAAAAGAAATAAATGGGGACAATATGGTCTTGATATTGGAGCTTGTGTGATCCGGTATTGCAACAAATACACAATTTATCTGCATGGAAAAAACAGACACCACTTCTCAGGACAGCAAAAGGCTCTTTAAATTACAAAGATATATAAAGCACTTGCAAAAGGCTGAGGAGCCTGTTTCCCAAACCTGCTGAAATCTCCAGTTAAATGAGCTGAAAGGGAAGAGGTGTTTCTTTTGAAAATTGTGTCTCTGCGTAATGCAAATTAGAGTCCAGGTAAAAAGAGGAAAGAAAAAGCTCTGGATGACTCAGCCAGGTGATTGATTTTAGTACCAGATGCTCAATATTAAAACTGTTAAGGCAAAATACAGAGAAAAGAAAGGGGGAAAAACACTGCAAAAAGAGATGACAGATGATATTTGTATATAGCAGGTGATACTGAGGATTTTACATCCCTCTTGCATTACCTCAGATAACTATTAGCAACATATGCTAGCTTTTGGAGACTTTACAATGGTCTCATTTATCAGCCTGTGTTCATTTTAATGGCTTTAGCTACCATTTTTATCACATAGCACATAACATGGTTAGTCTTAGCCTTTTCTGAGATTACTCTGCTCAGACAGCAGTGCTGCAACATCACAAACACTGTTTTTCATTTAGTAATGATAGATATCAGAATGCAGCCAGCATCCACTACACAGAGCCAACCTTGCATATCAAACAACTAATTCCCTTCTTGATTTCACTATAAACATTAAAAAAAAATAATGTAGGAACTCCCTTGA